CCACGGCCTGCGGGCGCCTGTCGTGTGTCAGGAGCCTGGCAGAGCTGTGGAATGCCAGTCAGGTGTCAGGAGTCTGACAGGGCAGTTAGCTGTCTGGGGGCGCAGGGCATTAAATGAGGAAGGTGACGTGGCGGAGATCAACCTCGGGTTCGGTGAGTATAAATAGGGGCAGTCGATAGCATTTATGCAGGTTGGCCTCTCACACTAAAACGAGACTTGACACTTCTCTCTCTAAACTTAGTTCTGACTTGGGCGTCGGAGTGCTAACGGGCACTCCTGAGCCCTTTAGGCGCTTGTCCTTGCAGGATCCAGGCGCCTGTACTGAGTTCGAAGGGGCAGAGATCGAGGAAGGTGGGACCGGAGGAACTTAACCGGAAGTGCCGCATTGTTTCGAATGTTTCTCGCAAGTCCATGATGTGATCCTGGCGCCTCTTGCTCTTCACAATCAAATCGTCCACATATGCCTCCAAGTTTCTTCCTATTTGCTTGCGGAAAATCTGATTCACCATACGTTGATATGTTGCTCCGGCGTTCTTCAAGCCAAACGCCATCACTCTGTAGCAGAAGTTCCCAAAGGGTGTCATGAACGCCGTCTTGGCCATATCTTCCTCGGCCATAGGAATTTGATGGTAGCCCGAGAACATGTCCAGGAAACTAAGTGCTTCATGATATGCGGTGGCATCCACAAGCAGGTCAATGCGTGGCATGGGGTATGCATCCGTGGGGCATGCTCGATTAAGGTTGGTGAAGTCTACACACATCCTCCAATCCCCCGAGGGCTTTGGGACGAATACCACATTGGAAAGCCATGTGATGTATCTTGCTTCTTCTACAAATCCTGCTTCGAGCAATCTGTCAACCTCTCGGCGGAGCGCCTCCTCCTTTTCTTGAGACAAGTTTCTGCGTTTCTGTTGTACGGGCTTTTTCCCTGCTTCCACCGCCAGCCTGTGCACTGCCACGTCTGGAGAAACGCCTGGCATGTCTTGGGCGCCCCACGCGAATAGCTCCCCAAACTCCCGCAGTAGCTCGATCAGAGGCGCCTTCATTACTTCAGGGGCCTGTGCCGAAATTCGCACTTGTCTCTCCGGGTATCCTTCGTCCAAGGCCACTACAAGCTCGCCGTCCAGGGCTTCCGCCCTAGGCGCCTCCTCGAGGCGGACGTCGATAGTGTTGACCCTATGTTTGCGAGCGCGGCTCCTTGGGTCTTCTTCTCGGGCGTACCGTGGAACATTTCTTCCCCTGGAAATGCCTATGCCCTGGGGTGCTACGAACTTCAGCGTCTGGTGACAAGTGGACGCCACGCCATTGAACTGTGCTAGTAGCGGACGACCAAGTATCACATTGTAGGGCGATGGGCAGTCTACGATTCCAAATTCCACTGCATGCGTCACACAATGTGTCTCATCTCCGAGGGTCACTGGTAGGCGTACACGCCCGATGACCTGGGCTGGCGCACCGGAAAACCCAATTAACACCGAACTCGAGGGGCGTACCAACTCTGGCGCCAGTTGCATGCGCTCAAACGTGCTCTTGAAGAGGACATCCATTGAGCTGCCAGTATCAACTAACATCCTTTTCACTTTACATCCTGCGATCACCCCATGTATCTCCAAAGCTTCCTCCGACGGGATCTGGCATGCCTCGTCCGGCTCTTGATTGAAGTTGATTTGCACTGCTTCCCTTGCTTCAATTGAAGCGGATCTCAGGCGCCTAGACCTTTCCAACTTCTCCCTCAAGTCTACAGTGCCGGTTATGGATTCGACCGTGAGCCTGATGCGACTCGGCTTTCCCTCCTGGTTTACTTCAAATGGGGGGGGGGGGTGGTATCATCGGCTCCTGTGGGGTTTTCGGCCTTTCTGGCGCCTCTTGGGTCCCTGGGGCTTCATGCGCCTTTGAGTTCCTTGTGGCTTCTGGCGCCTGTCTCGCCACGTACGTCCGGTGAGTCCTGTCTTCCGCCCTCCTAACAAAGTCATTGAGCATGCCTTTGTCGGCTAACGACTGTAGTTCGGCTTTAAGCTGGTAGCAGTCGGCCGTGTAGTGCCCCTTGTCGCGATGAAAGTCACAATACCTATCAAGGTTCTTCTCGTTTGGTTGGCCGCGCATGGGCCCCGGCCACCGTATGTGGTAGCCCCTATCTTTCACATACTGTAGTACATTCTTTAGTGTATCATTGTATTCAGTAAAGTTAGCTGAGCTTCTCGGCACAGGGCGAGGTGCCTCAGGCCTTCTTTGCGGACCATAATTCCCGGAGGGCACCCGGGGCGCCTGCCTTACCTCCAACTCATCTCCCCTCAGGCGCCTCTTCTCAGCTCTCCGTGCCGCCAACGTCTCCTCCAACATGATTACCTTCTGCACCCTTCGGTCCAGGTCTTCTGTGGACACCACATCCCGCTTGGAGAGGACTCGACAGAGTTCTTCGCTCGAGGTACAAGCGTCCAAGCAAACCCCCAGAACCGCCGGTTGGACGTCTTTGACTGCCATGGCTACAGAGATCCATCGGTCGTAAAATTCTCTGAGCGCCTCCCCCTCCCTCTGCTTCACCTTGAACAATGCGCCTATGGTTAGTGTCCGGCGCTTCCTACTTGCAAACTTGGACAAGAATAACTCCGCAAACTGCTCAAAGCATTCGATGCGCCCCTCTTCGATTTGATGGTACCAATCTAACACTACGCCCGCAAACGTGGATGGGAACACCTTGCATAACGTGGCGTCTGAGCTGTTGTACAGTTGCATCTTCGTGAAGTAGCTGTTCAAATGATCCTCTGGGTCCGCCACCCCGTCGTAACTAGGTAACGGGGGAATTGTGGTTCCCGCCGGTTCCACTAGGATGCTTCGCGCCAATGGTTGCCTGACCCCGAACCGCTTGGCGATTCTTTTAGGCGCCCACAAGTCTTCTGGCTCCACCTGGGTATGCTCAGTAGGCATTTTCCAGGCGCGTGAACGCCTTGGTGCGTCATGTCCTTGGTCAGCTTGGTACGGGTGCCCGTGCTGCAAAGACTCCAAATCTTCTCCCATCCTTTCTCGTTTCCTGACGCCCGGGCTATACATCATTACGTCCTCACTTCGCTCCCCATCCAACTCCCTTCTGAGCGCCGCAATGGCCCGATCCTGGTCGGCTATAATTCGGAATAGCTCTCTCTTCGTCAAAGACTCCCCTTCCTCCGCCGATAGGCGCCCAGGGCTCGCTTCCCCTTCTGCCTCCATGCTCAACTCTCGGCTCGGCTGCCGCTCGCCTTCCTCATGGGTCGAATTGTCCAACCTCGAAACATCTTCCCCGTCGTTCAAGTTTTCCATTTGCTTCGCCCCCTTCCTGGCGCGCCAATTGTTTGAGCCAAGTTCCTCCGGTCCCACCTTCCTCGATCTCTGCCCCTTCGAACTCAGTACAGGCGCCTGGATCCTGCAAGGACAAGCGCCTAAAGGGCTCAGGAGTGCCCGTTAGCACTCCGACGCCCAAGTCAGAACTAAGTTTAGAGAGAGAAGTGTCAAGTCTTGTTTTAGTGTGAGAGGCCAACCTGCATAAATGCTATCGACTGCCCCTATTTATACTCACCGAACCCGAGGTTGATCTCCGCCACGTCACCTTCCTCATTTAATGCCCTGCGCCCCCAGACAGCTAACTGCCCTGTCAGACTCCTGACACCTGACTGGCATTCCACAGCTCTGCCAGGCTCCTGACACACGACAGGCGCCCGCAGGCCGTGGTCCACCAGCCAGTTGGCCGCCACCTGGCTTTTGGTGCACTGTGAGACAGCTAACCGCCCTGTCAGACTCCTGACACCTGACAGGCGCCCCCAGGCCGTGGTCCACCAGCCGGTTGGCCGCCACCTGGCTCTTGGTGCTTTACTCTTGAGGTCCCTTCTCTTTTCTTGGGCCCGAGGGCCACTAGTGAATATTGGTTCTTACCTTTTGGGCCTTGCCCCCTAACTCCTTCTTTGGGGAGCCCAATCTCTTAGCTTGCTGGGTAATACCCCAACAGTTTTTGTATCTCTATTTAACTATTTGATCATGATAAGCTAGAAAGTGGTGTGAGTTATTATAATAAATGAGAAAGAAACGAGATTTTCCCATGATTTCCCTCAAGCAACGGCAGTTCTCCATGATTCCTTATATTGCTCGCCTAATTAGTTTATTTAGCATATATGATCTTTATCTCCATGACTTAGATTCCCTGGATTCCTATTTAACGCCCTAAGTTTTTAAATTTTTCGCCCTAAATTAACCAAACAGACGATATTACCCCTAATTTGTAAAATGGTCACCCATAATTCATCGCCCTAAATCCTAAATTCAATAGCTCACCGTCGGCGGATGGAAAATCCGGCTAATGAAATTCACCGGCAAAATTCTTCACTCGCACCCTAATTTTCCTTCTCCAATCCACTGGCGGTATTCTCTCTCCGGTTGAAGAATCTCGCGTGGCCGCTCTGCTGCTCGGTTGATGGAATCCTTCGTCAATCTCGTGTGACAGCTCTGGTGCTAGGTCCGTCTCCGCCTCCAGGCCTCCGCTCGCCGATCGAGTAAGCAGAAGAGAGAAACGAATCCTCCCCTGCCGGACGCCTCTGCTATTGCTGGGTTCTGAATCGCCGTGTTCAATCGTCTGCCGATCGACGGTTTGCAGAGGAGGAACGACGGCGCAAGGACTTCCATGACGAATGAGGGCGACGGGCGATGACTTCCAGGCGAACGGCGACGACGGTGGAGGACTTCCAGGGGGACGATGGGCAAGGTTCCAGGGTGAACGGCGACGATGGGCAAGGGCTTCTTGTCCGGTGATAGAGATCCTAGGGCGACGGGGCGAGACGAGTGTTTTTTTTAATTTGGGATTTTTTTTTTAATTTGGTTAGAGATTGAGAAAATTTAGGGGCAAAAATGTCAACTTGTCTAAGATAGAGCGATTAATTTAAAAAACTAGGGCGTTAATTAGTACCTACTAATGATTTTCCCGTAACAAGTTATTTCTATTTCTCCGTACGATGAAGTTTTCTCCAACAAGTGAAACAATCTCAAGCTTTTCAGCCACAAGCTAAGTGCAATCCTCTTATTTTCTGACTAGCGGTTTCTTCCTGCTAGCTCGACCTCACAACCTCTTCGATTCAATGTGCATGGTTCCAGGTGATTTTTACTGGCTATCAAGAGGATGCAACAAAAAATATTCAGGCAAAAAGTAACAGGAAAGTGGATTAGCGAACATCAAAGAAATAAGTTGCATAATGCAGCACATTGTGATATATTGAGTTTTTTTTTTTTGTCAAAGATATTCCCACAAGGGAACACCTAGATACGAATTGGAAGACTTTTCAAGCAACCGTAATAATATAAATAAGAGAAAGGGACGACGGTCGACAATTAGTCAAATCATCAATAAGAAAGCCTTTTTCGTCACGCAACGGGCAACTCTTTAATACCTATACGGCACGGATAGTATCCATAATTCTTATTCTATAAAGATAAAAAAATTATGAAAATAACCATGCTGAAATCGAAGCAGAGAAGCAATCCTTGCCGTTTTGGCAGGACAATCACCTGCAAAATTGACAAACAAATGGTCTCTCCAACAGGACCAAGGGTTTCGCACATACACCATGAACAATCTATTCTAATCGTCATGTCTAGCTAATATTAGCTCTCCAAGAGGAAACAAGTTGGGACGGGGAATTCTAATAATGAAACGACCCAAAGAATGATCCTGTGAAAATCTAGGATAAAAAGTTCATATAAAACCATAATGAAAATCAATTAGTGGCCGTAAGAAGGTTGGAAGAAAATAGAAGCCCAACCCAAAAAAGCAATCAAAAGTATAGCACCTGCAAGCCCAGACTGGAAAAAGTATTAATAAAGATTCACTAATGACGTATTGACGGCATGGTCCATGAAACCGTACCGTATCGGCGGTTCGACCACAAAATAGCAGTATCGGAGGCTAAACCGGTAGGCGGTATTTAACGGTACTAATGGTTGAACGGTTAAACCACGATTTTTGTCATAAAATACCCTACCACTGACTTTTCCAATACAGTCTCCGGTACGGTTTCATGGACCATGATTGACGGTAGAAAAGAAAAAAAAAAATACTAATAAAAAGAACGAAATAACCAAAAGGATAAGAAAGTCCCAGAAAAAATAACAAAATGAATAAAGAGAGCGGGTAACGCCTTACACGCGTCAGCGAATAAAATTAGAGTCCCCAATTTACATTACCGCTTACCTTCGTCGGATAAGGATGAGTGGTGACACGCGTCGGCCATCGACGAGCTGAATTAGCGCAAGAGGCCAGCTGGCGGGGTGCCTCACACGCGCCGCTGCATGCAATTCCTCGCCGGCACCGGAGCATCAGGAAAGGCTGAAACAAGGAAGAAGTAGAGGAATACTAGCCGCCCTACTTAGATGTTGCTGGTGCCGAAGGCAGCCCAGGCGGCAACCAATGAAGCTGAAATGGTCATGCAGCGGGAGCGGAGCGGGAGCGGGAGCCAGCGGAGGAGCGCAATAGCGGATGAGTGGTGATATATATTGAGTTATTCACTTATTTGCCTAGTAGATAGATATCCAGCTACCGAATGCGAAAATCAAATGAAGGGCAAAAAAGGGAGCAAATTTGAGAATAAAATAGGTTCACAAATATGATGCCATTGTAGTTATTGTAGGTTTAGGATTGAACTGTAAAAGTGAAGAAAAAGAACGTTGGTAGGGTGTGCATGTTATTGTTAAAGAATAATGAATTACTGTTTTCATTAATACCATTTAACCAGCCGGGCAACCATATGCTTCGCCCTGCATTAAAAGCTGCACTATTCGCTGAAGATAAAAGTACATCGAACCCATATGAAGTTTTCCCATGAGCAGATTGAATCCATTGAGCGGTCAAATGGTTATTAGGGGTGGCTATACGGTCCGGTCCGGTTAAATTGGCCCAAATTGATCCGGTCCAGTCCGGTTTTTTTGAAAATATAAGGACCGAAGATTGGATTGGATACAGTCCGGTCTTGATCCGGTCCGGTCTTGACCCGGTCCGGTCCCAATTCGGTCTTGGTTTTATATTGAGATTGTGGGAATTTGAGTGGCCTAAGGCCTAAAAGGGTGAGGAGTTGGTTAAGTTTTGTACTAAGTGCAAAGGTTTGTGACCGTTTATGCAAATTACCCTTAAGTTTTGGATGTTGAGCTCTCTTATCCGGTCTTTATCCGGTTTTTTACCTCAAATCTAAGCCCAAAAATTGGATTGGATTGTTTACTATCCGGTCCCGGTCCGGTCTCGGTCCGGGTTATACGGTCCGGTTTCCGGTTTTTCATCCGGTCCCGGTCCAAATAGCCACCCCTAATGGTTATCATGTTAATTGTCAAATTAAATAAGTCTAAATTTTATTAACTATGGAACACAATATCATAACCAAATCGTTTAAACTAAAACAACAACCAAATTAACCAAACTAAAGTTTAATCGGTTTGGTTAATTGATTAACCAAACTAACCAATATACCATCACATTATCATTAAGTGGGGAAAAAAATTCATGTTAGTACATCAATTCAAAATTTATATAATAAATAACATGTAACAATCAACAAAAAATTATAATTAACCCTTAACATAAATACATGTAACTAATGCAATTATCTTACATTTGATTTTTGAGTGGTTATGCAAAGTATTAAGTATGTATATATATAATAGGGTCAGACTGGCGTATGTCAGGCGTATACTATACGTCAGGTACTACTAATGAGACATCTCTATCTAGACCATGAATTAAATCGAGTTTGGGGTATGATACTATACTCTAACCTCTAATAGATAAACCCAAGGCACCGATTTTCTAAACCCCAACCCGAAGTTTGATTTAATGAAAAACAAAAACTGACCATTGAGATTGGCTGGAGCTCATCTAAGTACATCTAACGGATAGATCACCTGATGTATACTATACGCCTGACGTACACCAGTCACTACCCATATATAATATATTAGATATATAGCTAATTACTTAACTGGTTAATATGGTTTGGTTTATTAGGAGTGTGTGAAACCAAACCAAACAAGCTAAAACATTTAACCAAACCAATTAATCAAATTAACCAAACCAAATTATTTGAATACTACCAATTAAAATGGATACCATGGTAACTACACCGTGATGATGGTCTAACATGAGATAATAAAAAAAATAGTATACATGTGCAGCAAATAAGAAATTATTAAAATAAGGTAAAATGGCTGGTCATATTCCTTCTTCCTCTCACTCTAACTATACCCCTTTTTAGGGTTAATTGCATGGTTGGTCACTGATATTACAAAAAAACATTCATGTTTGGTCCCTGGAAATATTTAAATCCAATCTTGGTCACTCAAATTAGTTAAATGGTTCAAATTTGGTCACTCTTCGTCCATTTCCGTTAACGCTAGCTTACGTGGCAGTCAGCTTTTGTAGCTGACCGTTAAATAGTATCGTGGCAACTAAAAAATTATTAAAAATAAAAAATAAACTTTTATATTTTCCACCTCATTATTACATTCATTAAAAATAATAAAATAATAAAAAACCTAATTTCTTTTCTACACATCCCCCATACCCTACCCGACCCGCCCTCACCACCACCAGAACACAACCTCACCAGCTTCTTATTGAAGAATTGCTCCGTCCCCAGCGGCCACGTCACCATAGGAACTTCAGTAGCAATCGCTTCCACGACAGAGTTCCAGCCGTAGTGGGTAACGAATCCACCCACCGCCGTGTGACCTAAAATCAGCAGCTGAGGCGCCCACCCTTCAATTATCAATCCTTGCCCTTCAACTCTCTCCTCAAATCCCTTCGGCAGATCTTCCCTTCTCTTCACAACCCAAACAAACTCCTATCCCGAGCCTTCTAGCCCCGTCGCCAGCTCCAAATTTTGCGCTGTCGTGAACTCTGTATCAGAGCCGAAATAGAGATAAATTACCAATTGGGTTTCTTCGAATCCAGCCATTTCAAGCATTCCTGACGGTCAACTACAACAGCTCCCGTCACTGTCACCATCTCTCTGCTCTCTTTCTCCTTCGCGCCGCCGGCGAAAGAGAAAAAGGCCCGACGTGTCAGGCCCGTTTCGCGACGGCTGATCTGTAGTGGTCGGCGTAGAGAGGTTCCAATTTGTAGAAACTATTGAGGAGAACGTCGTAGGAATCCCTTTCCGAATCGAGGCATTTTTTGAAGAAATGGGTGAATACGCTTTTGGACTTCCAGGCTTCCGAGATTTTCCCCTGATGAATTCGATTCCTTCCCCGGGGAGATTCGAGATGACGAAAGTGTCGTCGTCGAAAGAGACTCTACTGTGGGGGGTAGTGTTCGACCAGGCTCTATTCGGGGCACAGGGAGAAGAAGCATTTCCCGCCGAAAACTACCTTAGGGACGCCCAGACTTGCCGCCAATTCCGTGGTCCAGGTGAAGAAGGTGTGGACGACTAAGCAATCGGGGGGGTGTTGTTCCAACAATTCTTTGAGGAGCTCGACCAAGGTGGAAGCGGAGTTGAAGAAGAGGGTCCCCGGAGGTTGTGTTCTGGTGGTGGTGAGGTTGGGTAGGGTAGGGTATGGGGGTGTGTAGAAAGTAAATTAGATTTTTTTTTTTGTTTTTTAATGAATGTAATAATGTGGTGGAAAATATAAAAGTTTATTTTTTTATTTTTCAATAATTTTTAATTGTCATGTCACGTATTTAATGGTCAACTATGAAAGTTGACTGCCACGTAAGCTAGAGTTACCGGAAATGGAAGGAGAATGACCAAACTTGAACCATTTAACTAATTTGAGTGTCCAACATTGAATTTAAATATTTCCAGTAACCAAACATGAACGTTTTTTGTAATCTCAATGACCAACCATGTAATTAACCCATTTTTACAAAAAGTGGAAGCTCTGACGTGGAAGGGCTGCTTTGTTGCTAGCTGGTAAATATTTTTCTTTTCATTTATCATCTCTCTAAAGAATTATTACTTATTATTCTCTGCAACACATGGCAGGAGCGAAGCTAGAAATGTAAAACCTTGCTCCAAATTTTACCAAAAAAATTAGGGTTATAGGTATAATATGCCTCTCTACTATGACGTTTTATCAAACATGCCCCTCTACTATTTTTTACATCAAGCATGCCCCTCTACTATGAAAAAATTATCAAACATGCCCTTCTATTAAAATTTTCATTGAAAAAATTGTCAATCATGGTTGAAGCGAGATTTAGACGACCCGACATCGGCAAATGGGAGAGAAAATGTCAGTTTTATCTCCCGTTGTATTTCTCTGGGTCTCTTCGAAGTGAAATTATTTGAATTATTTGGCTATACAAAAGACAAAAAGAAATAAAAAGTGAAATTATTAGGGATATTTTAGACATTTGTGCCAGCCCAAACCAAAGTTCGACCTTGGTTAATGATTTTTGGATGAAAATTTAAACAAAAGGGCATGTTTGATAATTTTTTCATAGTACAGGGCCATGTTTGATGTAAAAAATAGCAGAAGGGCATGTTTGATAAAACGTCATAGTAGAGGGGCATATTATACCTATAACCCAAAAAATTAATAACAAAGTATTTTGTACTAAAACACTAGTTTAAGTGTTGTTAATTTTTTCCTGCCATTAAAACAATTTCGAAGAAATGACGCTAATTTTTTTCATGGCCTACAATTTGGGGGATTGCTCATCTGGTAATTTGGTTTATCAATTTGTTAATTCAACATATTTCTTCACTTCAAACTATTATTTTAACATTAGTAACTCGTCATCCAAGGTGATTAACAACTATAACCCTATCATTAGTAACATATCAGGAGTATAAGAGGCCAAAAAAATTGAAGGAAGGCAATGGCTACTTCAAGTGCATTCAAATGGTTATCATGATAAAGAAAGTAGAAACCATGTGTGTCCTTTCTAAGTTGTGCAAAGACGTGATCACTAAATTCATCCACCAGGATTTCCATGGAGTCGTTGCTAAGATGTCAGTCCTCGATGCTTTCGGCTTCTTGATTGTGTACTCCATCGACAAGAAGAACCTATGGCACAAGCTGCCTGTGATTTTGGGTCTGGCTTACCTGGCCATTCGTCGCCACCTTCACCAAGTCCACAACTTGCTCAATGTCGGTGGGCAGCTCCCCGGCGACGGTTTCGACCCGGCCGATTATCCTCACAGGACGGAAGGTACAATGATCCCTTCAATGGAGTTGCAGGCGGTCAAAACACTTTCTTCGGTAGAAACATGATGCCATCTGCCGAAGACAAGGTGGTAACGCCACATCCTGCCTTAGTGGCGACGAAGCTGCTAGCAAGGAGGTCCGGTGAGAAGTACAAGGACACAGGGAAGCAGTTCAACATGGTTGCAGCTTCTTGGATTCAGTTCATGATCCACGACTGGGTTGATCATCTAGAAGATACCAAACAGGTTTCATATCAGCTAGCTAGCTAGCTGGTTAATTGCCCACTGCAATTTTCTATGGTTGTTAACTTATTACGAATGAGGGCAGTCTTTCGATTTCCGCCCCCCGCTTCCACCTCCGCCCTCGTCGTCGCCGTCGTTTTCGCACCGGAAAAACATCTCCTCAAAGTTCGCCGGAAAGATCTGTTCCCTGATTCCTTCCCTCTCACTCTCTGCAAAGTCAACAGCGGTAAGTGGCAAAATGACAACCCCTATTAATTATAGGTTTTTAAGGTAATTAATTTGTGTTGCATTTAATAATCTGTATGAATTAAAAACACATATTAATTACTTTTCTTTTTTCAGTGCACTGGTAGTTGTATCAGTGCACTGGTAGTTGTGTACAGGTGCAATGGTAGATGTATCACTGCAATGGTAGTTCCAAAAAATGAACGTAATTAATATGAGTTCAGTATACCAGTGCACTGATACAACTACCAGTGCACTGAAAAAAGGAAAGTAATTAATATGTATTTTTAATTCATACAGATTATTAAATGCAACACAAATCAATTACCTTAAAAACCTATAATTAATAGGGGTTGTCATTTTGCCAACCCATACAAGGGTTAGCATGCTAACCGATCCCCAGCGGTAAGTGCAAGGCAAGGGTCAAGAAGTCCATTTCTTCAGCGTCTACGACGGCCATGGCGGTTCCCAACTTCCTCGGTTCCAGGATTGTACGCCGTCGGAATGTCGCCGCCGGATAGAATGGTTGCGGATCTCAGTAGGACTGGCGCTGCTGAAAGGGATATTGAGCAGGTACCTGATTTCGTGGCTTTTGATTTGCTTTTCTTTTCTGGATTGCTATGTTGCTATGTTTAGCTCAACTAGTTCCCGAGTGAGCCAGATTGGACTTCACCGGCGTCATATCCAGTACACATCACCCTTCCTCTTCCTGTCTTTCTCCGTCATAGCTCGCATAAGCTTTTATCATCAGTTCTAATTAGTAATCAACTGGCACCTTAACTTCATTATCATAATTCTATAATCCCTCTGTCTTTTTGATGGTCGTTCTGGAAGTTTTTGTTGTGAGGATTGAGGATTGCGAGTTCATGTCTCCGATGGGATGTGGGTCAAGGTAAGAGATTTGGATATCATCTTGTTCATAATCCCTGTTACGCTTTTGTTTTATCGACGAAGCCAAAATTCAGTTGTGGGGGCGATCGGATCCCTGTTACGGAGATCCCGGGCTCTCCTCCGGCCGCCGCCTTCCAAGTTTGCCGGATGGCTGTCTCCGGAATTAGCTCCGAGACGTAGGGCGCCATTTATGAAACTTTTCATTTTATTTTAATTCTCTTCCGCCGGTGATGTCTCATTTGTTCGTTCACGTTAAGGTAAGATTTGGAATCATTTTTACTAATTTATTTACTCTTTTAATTATTGCTAAATCGAAATTTTTTGTTGACTTTGCTAGTTACTAGCCCTTTTATTTGCTTTATCATTATTGTGCAGCAATCAACGTTTGCTTATTAAGTGGGTTCATTTTCTTTCTCTGTTATTATTATCATCTTTATTGTGTAGCAATTAAAGGTCCATTTTTAGTGGTATCATTTCCCCTTCCTCTTAATTTTTGCTAAATAGAAATTTTATTTCATTATATTTGGTAATTTACTTTTAAGAATGTTGTATATTGGGTAATTCGCATCTAAATGGAGATCTATTATACTTCATTTTCTGAATTTTACAATTGTTATTTTACATTCGGTTTTATCGCCTATGCCTAAAGGGCACTCCTTAATCTCTTGAGATAGAGATCTCTAGCATCACAGTGGATGCCTTTTTGGGGTTAGATATAACCTGTCCTAGCAAAAGTATATTCATTCGGTTTGATTGGGCCACAAAGAATCTTCACGGATATGCAAACTGACTTTGGCATATTTTCAGGTGATGGAACTGTCTCATTTGATTTTAGTAAAATTTATTATGCTATTACTATGAGAAAGAGTCTTACTCATAATGTTTGGTTGTTACCTCTCGAGGATATTCTCAACCGGTCATCAGGATGCTACATCGAGGAAATCTTCCCATTCTAAAGTCGGAGATATTTTAAGGGAAGTTCTTTCTCTCTTCTCGACTCCCTGTGTCAGTTTCGTGTCTTTGCTCCTCGGATCTTTCATATAGCTGCCCACCTCGTGGCAAAAAAGGCTCTTTTATCGGGAGTCTGGTTGCATACGGGCTACCGTTCTTTATTATTATCTGTTTTATATATTTGTTGTTCGGCCATGCCCTGGGGGCTTATCTTGGATAAATAAATAAATAAAATGGTTATCATGATAACTAAAAAATAAAGTGAGTTTAAGTTCTATTGACCATATAATACATTGCATTAACAAAAACGATCAAATTAAGAGAACAACAAAATTAGACGAACTAAAGTTCAATCG